AAAGCCTTAAATTAAAGTGCTTTTATTCTTATTGGACAAACACTATTTGCTAGATCATATTTATCATGGTAGTTCATTTACTTTGACTGCAGACCTGTTAAGAGACATATTACCTTGAAGAGACTAATTTATATTCAGAGTGTGACCTATTACATTAATACTAATATTGTATGGTAATGCTAGAATAATAGAGCAGAATTCTTGGCAGACTATGTTTCAGATTTTAAAACTACTTCAAAAACATAAATTCAAAACTCCTATGGACACATCTGAACTTGAAATTTTACAGTATCTCATCTCAATCAAGTTAAGAGTAAAGTCTTTTTGGAAATCCTTATCAGTCTATTGCTTATCCCCAAGGAAGGATATTTGGATGGACGGAAAAGGGTTTTGGCTGTAAGCAGCTGTGCTCAGGGATAACTCCTGGCAGGGTTCAGGAGACCAAATACAGTGCCAGGGGTCCATCAAAGTCTGAGAATGCAAGACCCCTAGGGAAGAATGAATACTCTCCCAATGACTCTCCTTAGTTTTCATTTTTCTTTCTTTCTTTTTTTCTTTCTCTTCTTTCGTGGTTAAAAATCTGTTTGTACTTTTTAAGCAGCATCTGTTCTGTCAAAATGTTCTAACAGACTTCTTTTTTCATAGGTTTTTGATTAAAAAGCACAATTTGTGAAGCTTTAACTACTTCATATTATTATCCTCATTATCATCCCTGTCTTTCATTGAAACTCGGAAACATACCAAAGGCAGCTCTGTTATTCTAGTTCATGACAAGCATGTGACTGGAAGCAAGATCAAGCTGCCAGATCTCCCAGGGGAAAGCAGAAGCAGAAACACACCAGGAACCTTTTATCACAAGTCAGCTTGATTTATTTTACTGAAAGCAATATTCCATATTTTATATAAGAAACATTAAAGCTTTTCTCTTGAAACGCTTGCTAACATAGATTTTCCTTTATCACAGGATGAGCATCCCTGCCCACTTCCTCCCTAGATACTGTTGCTATCAGGTTTCCATGACCTTCTCTGAGAGAGAGCTCACCTACTCTAGGCAACAGTTGATGTCCTTTTTTTAGCTACACTTAAATACCACCCATAAGTTCCTATTTTCAACCACATACACTGAATATAACTTACATCCAGTATTTTGAGAATTCACTTCAGGCTTTTCATTTATAAAAAAATTTTAAATCAGACATTTTTCAGTCTACAGCCTGTTTCTTCCTCCAATACAATTATTTAGGAGTAATTCTTTAAGAATGCTGCTGTAATAAAGGTAATTTTCTTGCATCAAAATATGAACTTTCACTATAAATTGCACCATTCTTTGTTTAAAACAATAATACATAAAGTTAAAACGTGAAAGAGAATGTGCATTTACAAAGAAAAAATAACAGTTGGATTTATAAGTATTTTAAACTATTTTTTATTAAGGCACAATGATTTATAAAGTTGTTCATAGCAGTTTCAAGCATACATTCCAACACCAATCCCACTGCCAGTGTCAACTTCCCTCCATCAAATTGCCTCTCATGTTTATTCCTTCTCACTCTCCAGCCTGCCTCCGTGACAGGCACCTTCGAAAGTTTAGTAATTGTAGTTTGGGTCTCCTACTTAAACAGTGCCATTGGCTATGCTTATTGGTTCTGTGGCTCAAGTGTTCCAATAAATAATGGTGTACACAGTCCTCTTGCATGATTATTTCTGTGCCTTGGGGGTAGATACCAGGAAGTAGAATTTTGGGGTATTAGAGCAGCTCTATTCTTACTTTTCAAAAAATTCTCATATTATTTTCCATAGGAGTTGAACCAGACAACATTACTATCATCAGTGGATAAGACTTCCTTTTCATCACATCTCCACCCATACAGGTTGTTTCCAGGTTGTTCGCTTATACATGTATGTATGTGTGTACATACACACACATATACACACATATATGTATATATGTTGTATAGGTAAATAATACACATGTTTATATATTATATATGTTACATATACGTATGTCCCTCTCGGAGAGCCCAGAAAGCTATCAAGAGTATCCTGCCCACACAGCAGAGCCTGGTAACCTTTCCAAGGGCATTCGATATACCAAAAACAGTAACAAGTCTCACAATGGAGACGTTACTGGTGCCCGCTTGAGCAAATAATTGAACAACGGGAGGACAGCACTACAAAGCTACAGTACTACATACACACACATACATATACACACACAATTTGGATTTCCTGATATTATATATGATGACGAGCCTATGACTATCAGATTTCTTCAGAGAAGTGCCTTCTGACATCTTTTGATAGGATTTTTTGCTTGTTTTGTTGTTAAGCTTTTTGAGATTTACATATTTTAGATACGAACCCTTTAATGTGTTAGGTGCTAATATTCTCATTCAGTTTGGGTATGTTTTAATTTGAGCCCTATTTTCTTTTTCCATGCAGAAACATACTTTATATAGTTGCATATGTTTATTTTTGTTTCTGTTGTCTTTGCCAAGGGAATCATACATTGAAGACTATGTTAAAATGTTGAAGTCCAGATGTCAGAGTGTTCAGCTTTTATTTCCCTCAAAGAAGTTTATGAATTCTGGTCTAATATCAAGGTCTTTGATTTTATCTGAATGGCTTTTGTTTAACGTGTGAGAAATTAATCTGGACATATTTATTTATTTTTACATGTGGCTATTCAAGTTTTCAAACAAGTTTCTTGAAAAAGTTTTATTTACTCTGCTTCATTTGAAGTACACAACTCCTTTGTCAAAATAGTTTTCTAATTTCTTTGCTAAGAAATGAGGTGTTCTAAAGAAGTTACATGAGTAAGTCTGAGTAAAATAGATACTCTAGAAGTTCTGGTCAGGGTGAGGAGTAGTGACAGAACAGAGATGGGAGTGAAAAAAACCTGAATTGAAAACGTCAAAACTATGGGCAGAGCTTATACTATTTGTTTACAAATAGAAAAGATACAAAGACACAAAATGAGCATGGAGGTGCCTATGAGGCATGACAACATATACTCGGCATGACAACAGGAAGACAGGCTGAGGTCCCAGGATACACAAAACCAAAGCAAAGAACATTCATAAAAATGTGGCTGCATTAGAAATGACACAGTGCTTATCACCAAACACACATCCCCCCAATTTAATCCTTATGCCGTTCTAGGAAAAGGTATTATTACACAAGTCATAAATGAGGAATCTAGTGTGGGGGGGTGGACTTAAGTTGGATGAACAGTCAACCTTCCAGACCTGATGCTACTTCCTATACATTGCTGGTTTTCCACCCTGATTGGTCTAATAGAAAAAAAAAAAAACTAGGAAGAAACAGGAGATGTTCTGCTTTTTACTGTTTTTATACTGTATGCAGTTTAGAACACAGGTGATATCAGAAGAAACCAGGCCAGTCACAAATTAATGACAGAAACTCAAATAGACGTTTAAAGTGCCTAAATTATTAATATATCTCCATCAGCATAGAGACAGCCACATTCAAAACACCATTCCACCTCACATAGCTCTGAGTCCAGTAATTTCTTTGCTTTCATTTCTAGTCCCATTTCCTTACAAAAAATGCTCCATACTATGATGAGTAATTACAATAATTTTTAAAAGCAGCTTCAAGTAAATTTCATTTAACTCTTGAAAATAATGCTTACAGGTTCTTTCTTGGTATTATTTTTGATAATACAGCCGTGCAGTGCTATAGATCATGCTATTCAGTGTTTGGAAAGAAGACAAATAATAGCATGTTTCATTAAGATGATTTTATCACTGTATCACTGTCCTCCCGTTGTTCATCAATTTGCTCAAGCGGGCCCAGTAACATCTCCATTGGAGACTTTGTTGTTACTGTGTTTGGCATTTCGAATACATCAAGGGTAGCTTGTCAGGCTCTGCTGTGCCGGCGAGATACTCTCGGTAGCTTGCCGGGCTCTCCGAGAGGGGCGGAGGAATCGAACTTGGGTCGGCCATGTTGGCTGCATGCAAGGCAAATGCCCTACTGCTGTGCTATCGCTCCAGCCCCAGATGATTTTATATGACACCTAAATGAATTTTTATTTACTCACATGGTCCTTTCATTGGTTTTGTTATTGTTGTAGTAATCCTTCCCATAATCTGGGGAGGTATGGGAGGTGAGTGTACATGCAATGTCTAGTGCATGCATATATTTAGCTGTGGCACTACCCAGGAGCATACATCAACTTGTGGTGCCCACCAACGTTTGTACTCTTTAATTGTGGTGATATCAAGGGGCCATTATAGTGTTCACATATACTTCTATGCTTCCTGGTCACAGCACTTACACATCTTTTTATAACGATAGTGCTCATTAGGGATCACAACCTTTTTTGGTGCTCATATTCATGTAGCTGCAAGGAAGAAAGGAATAACTTTTGGTGCCAGAACTATGGACAGCAAGTTTCCAGGCTTAAATAAAACACTGCCAGGAACATGCTCAGTGCATGTAGGAAATTGGAAATTTTATTTTGTCTTCTATTGATTTTGATTTGGGGGACACAACCAAAAGTGCTCAGAATTACTCCTGGTTCTGTGCTCATGGGTTCCTTCTAGCAGGTTCAGGGAACCATATGGGATTGGAATTTGCTGGAGCAAATCCAATCCAGGTCAGCAATGTGCAAGTTGTTTCCATAATGAAAATACTTCTGTGACCTTTCAGAGTTCTGACAGTCTGAATATTACAGTATCCATATTACAAATGAATTTTTTAAAAATTTACTATTTATATCACAAATTATTCCAAATATACTTAATACATCAGTTGATTATAATGTGGATAGATTTTAAGGAATTATTAATTTAAGACAACTAAGCAATCATGGACAAGGCCCATAGGAAGAAATATTGATGATTATACCAAAAACAAAATACTTCATCTGCAATACTGACCATTAAATGATCATCATCTAACTATACTGAATTAAAAAGATAGCATAAAATATAAACACAGCATATTTTAAAAACAAATACTCTAATACTTACTTTCAGTAGATCTTTTGAAAAATCACCTCCCTCATTTACCCCTTGAAGATTTGCAATAAATTCTTGGCAGGTCATCTTTTTACCAATATTCTGAAACAGAGGCAAATATTATATGAGATATGTATATATGTGTGTGAATATATAAAATATTATTAAAATGTAACTAATCTAAGATTAATTTTATTTTTTAAAAATACATTGGTATGTATATACGTATAATATAAATATAATAGAAGTTTATACGCACAGGAAGCATGGCTCATTATGCATTTAAAACTAAAGAGAAAAATAACATCAAACCTTTATTTTAACTTAAGAAAAAATCTAAATTGAACAGTTTCAATAAAAATAATGGTTAAATATCACATTTGAGTTGAATGCTCCTATTTTTCCTGCTTGTATTAAGAACTATATATATATCAAGAACTGAAATATTGACCTACTTTCAAGCTAATGAATGAACAATATATAAATGATAGAAGATTCCTGTGTTAGGCACAAGTATTAAACAACCACAGGAGTAGAAAGAATATCAGCTTTCCCTGACCCAACGCCAAATCTCTCTCTCTCACAGAATATCTGGGACACAGTTCAGTGGGTAAGTCACTATGCAGTGGCTGCTTTACTGGAAAGAGAACACTGAGTTTTAAGAAGCCTGAATTTGAGAACCTAAAGCACTGTGATGAGTAGTGAGCATGCATTTCCCTTTCCCCTAGAGGAAAAAACCCGCTTCATCTCCCAAGGCTATAAAATAGATGGGTACTCGATCATTGTATAATTGAAACCCAAGCACAAAAATTTGTAAGTCTACAACTGTACCTCATGGTGTTTCACTAATAAAAATTAAAAAAAATCATTGACTAGACTTAATCTTTCTTCTGACATGACTCACTACTAAGACAGTCTCAAAAAGATAGACCAGACTAAATACAATAGATGTTTTTGTTTTAAAAATATACAGAAGATAAGAAACTCTTGTAGACTTCCTTCCAATAATTTTTCTCTTTGAGTTAAATTGAGTTAAGTTTAACAAAAAAAAAAAAATCGTATCGGAGACAGAGCAGATAGTACTGAAGGTAAGGTGGTTGCCTTGCATGCAGCCAAACCAGGATCCATCCCTGAAACCACACACCACATATTGTGCTGTAAGGACCATTTTGGTTATTCCTAAAATCAGAGCTAGAACTATCTCTGAAGCCATGGGAAGTACATCCCATACCACTCCCCTGCACCCCCCCCCAATATAAAGCAAAACAAAACAATGAAAATCATTATCAAGCAAATAAAATTAGGTGGTGAGATAGATGCTTTAATATTATATATCTAATATTCAATATTCAACTATGTATAACTTTGTAAGTCACTGTGCTTTAATAAAAAAAAGATTCAATAAAAAGAAAACCTAGACCAAAAAGAGAAAATAAACACACAGATAAGCTGAAAAAGCTAATCAAATTGCTATGATAGTCACCTCCTAAGCCAGGTCCAATTAAAAATGAAGAGAATTTGCCAGATGTGAAGTTTTGTTTTTTCTAAGGTTTTATTATTGAATCCTTGTGAGATGTGAGATAGAGCTTTACAAAATTGTTCATAATTAGGTGTCAGTCATACAGTGTTCCAACATCCATCCCTCCAACAGAGTACATTTCCCAGCAGCAGTGTCCCTAGTTTCCCTACCATCACCTCCCCCTCACCCCTTCTTCTCTTTTTTCACTTTCTTTTTCACACACTCTCTCTCTCTCTCTTGATGTGAAGGTTTTTTTTTCGCTGTTTTTTTTTTCTTTTTGGATCACACCTGGCGATGCACAGGGGTTACTCCTGGCTCTGCACTCAGGAGTTACTCCTGGCAGTGCTCAGGGAACCATATGGGATGCTGGGAATCGAACCCGGGTCGGCTGCATGCAAGGCAAACGCCCTACCTGCTGTGCTATCTCTCCAGCCCCGATGTGAAGGTTTTTAAGTTTTAATTTGAACAGTATGATAAATCTGGATACTAAGAAAATTCTGTCTTAAGATGGGGCTTCTTAAGGCAAACACAAAGCACAGGAATGGAATCTTTAGCTAAATCAGGTTCATTTGAACAGAAACAAGAATGTCATTGTACACAATAGGCATACGAATAAGGGCTCATTTTTTCATAAAACATTAAGATTAAATAACATTTTTAAATGGGGTGCAGTGTAGTTTTGTAAAGACTTTAAAAGGGATATAAAGCCATGGTCGTTTTTTTTAAACAAGTATGAATATGCCACAAATATGCAGCTCTGGAAGGCAGGAAAATAGCTAAAAGGGATGGAATTCGTATATGCCTGGCAGGCATGACATCCCATCTTTTGTCTCTGGCACTACATGGCCTCTCTAGCACTAACAGTTACAGTCCTCTTAGTGTGCGAAACAACCAACACAACCCCCCCCCTCCCAACAGTCTATATAGCTCTTGTGGAATGTGTGTGTGTGTGTGTGTGTGTGTGTGTGTGCACATATTTAAATACCAAGGGGAAAAACCTTGCAAACTAGAGTAGCGACAAGAGAGCAAGGGAAGCGGGGTTAAGAGAAATAAACAGACCCAGGTCTCTGTGCACTGAAATTTCAGTGGTGGGAATAGTGAGTATTATAAACTTATAGATATATAAAGACAGCCCCCTAAAATCCCACATTGCAAGCCACTAACAAATCAATGAAAACATTTTTAAACTCCAATATTAAAAAGAAAAAATTAAGATGTACTATGTGCAGGCAACTATGTATTTTCATACTAATTGCTTATCGCTTCCCCATTCATAATTGCCTTTCTATACATAATGGAGCCTTTTATCCGTATCCTTATTAATTGTAGCAAAAGATTTAAATTTAGGTACTTTAATTTAATAGTGTTAATAAAATTCAGATATGCTATTAATAACGAATTTCCACATACATGGTTCTAAACACCACACTTACTAAATATTTACAAAAACTTATCTCTTCCAATTGCCAAAAAAGCAAAGTCAGACTTCAAATGAAAAAAATACATGAATGCGTTAAATGAAAACTTGCTTTGCCAGTTAACTTATTTGGTAGATATTTCCCATAATTAGAATATGTTAGATCTGCAGTTCTATGATTTTAATGAGACATTTTTAAAAAAACAGAGGAATGGGATGGATAGCTCAGCAGGTTGAGTGCACTTTGCTTAGGAGACCTAGGTTTGAAACCCAGGATACACGGTCCCCTGAATACCAGGTACTGCAGGCAGAGAATCCTGAGCAGAGGGGAAGGCCACAAAACAAAAACAAAGATTTCTCAATAGAGGGGAAAAAAAAAAAAGTTTCTCTCCATTTTTTCCAGACTTTATAAAGTGTGCCTTCAATGTGAGAAGCATATATAAATCAATAATAATTTTGACATGACTTAGTATTTTAACACTAATGTTTCAATGTTAGTACTTTCAATATTTTTCTATGATTTTAGAAAACAAAATGAAGAATGATTACATAACTAATTATTGTCTATTTCAGAGTATTTCCAATGATTTGTTTCTAACAAAATTAAAATAGAACTAAATGTTCCTTAAAATGTGAGTTTGTGAGTGAAAACATGTGTATTGTGTTTCAAAATCAATTTTGGATCCACTGTGTATAGTATAATACCATCTGCAAATAGTGACAATCTGGATACTTTTCCACATTTCACATCTCTGATTTTTTTTTCTTGCACAATTGCTGCACTTAGGACTACAACTACTATACTGAATTCTAACAGAGAAAATGACCATTACTTCCTAGTGCCTGATCTCAGTATTTTTCCCCATAGTATAATATTAACTGTTGATTTGTTGTAGGTGGTGTTATTACCTTGAGAAAGTTTTCTTTTATACCTATTTTATTGATGATTTTTATCATGAATGGGGGCTGGATTTTGTCAAAAGTTTTTTCTGCATTGATGTAATCATATGAGTTTTATTTTCTTTTGTTGATATGGTATATTACATTAATCTGTTTACATATGTTCAATCATTCTTGCATCCCACTTGATCACAGTGTATGATATTTTAATATACTGTTGGATTTAACTTGTCACACTCTTGTTAAGAAAATTTGTACAGATGGTCATCGGTGAAATAGGTCTAAAGTTTTCTTTTTCAGTAACTTCTCTGTTTTAGGCAACAGTATAATGATGACTTCACAAAAGCCACTAGGAAAGACTACTGTTTAATAATTTTGAAGAGATTGGGATATATAGGTAGTAAGTTTTATTTAAAGATTTTTGTAAAGGTATCTGAATCATAGATCTGATTGATTTCTCTGTACCAGTCTTAATGTTTTTATTTATATTTCCTTTATAAGTGATGATAAGTGTTGATGAATATTTTTTCATATATCTATTGGCATTCTGTACCTCATCTTTAAGAAAGTCTGTTCATCTATTACTGTTCACCTTTTAATGAAATGCTATATTCAATTTGTGATTATTTTGCTATGTAAAATAATATAGTTGAGAATATCTGCAACTATATTCATCAAGAATCTTGACCTGTAATTTTCTTTTGTTTTAATCATTCAAAGAAAATATTTTCAGAAGTTATTTAGAAAAAATAACAAAGTTCAAACTGCAAATAAATAGGTTAAAAGGTCAAAAATATTTAAAGAAAACTAAGAGCTAGTTCTTTGAAAAATATATATCCTCACAAGGAAAACAACATAGAGAATGAAAAGACGGGTATGGTGCCACCAGCAGGTGAACCTGTACCTGCAGGGCGAGTGCATCAGCAGCCTGATGGTGCCTTCAGACTTCCTGATACCCCAAAATTACTGCCTTTGGCCAGACCCCAACAATTTGGGGCCAAGTCTACCAAGAAATTAAATGGCCAAATGTTAGGCATGTGGGAGTCACACCCACAGATCATCTCTGGCTCAGCTATATAAGCTCATTTATTGGCCTAATTTCAGAGACCCATGAATCTTGAAAGAGATCAAAAGACACAGTTAGGGCATGTAGCGTGGAGGTACGTGAAAACCCATGACTGAGATCTTCAGGCCTGCTTGGAACAGGACTGGTCCTTCATCTCCCAGGTCCCTAGTTTTCCAGTACCTTGGCAGTCACACCCACAA